GTAAAGTTCTTGATTCTATTTTTGTTTTTTCTTTTCTATTTCAACAAGCATCTTCCAAAAACAACATATGATTAAAGTTCTTGACTACCATTCATTAATATTTAGTGGATTTGTTCCTGGGAGATAGAAGAATATCTGATTAAATTGATAGTAAGGCACATCTCTTTATTAATGATCCATGTTCAGCTTATGAGGAGTAAAGGGTTTTTAGTAATTAAAATTAGGTTCGGCTCTTCTCTTTTTCAATACCGCTTGTACAAACAAAGTCAGCTCAGAACGTGGTTGACATCCGGACGGTCCCAGTTAGAAAGAAGGGTTTTAAGGGTTTAGGCCTGTACATGTTTTTAAATGTTGGTGCAAGATGTCTCTCTAACATTAATTATGTTTGCAGGTGACCATATCATTCACAAAAATTATTCTCATCTCAATCCGACCAGGCACAGAAACTCTTGGAAAACTTCCTGGATCTGAAATGTTTTGCGACACCGCACAATATCCAATGGCTGTTAAAATTCCTGGAGTTATGATAATCCGTGTCAAGTCTGCCTTGTTTTGTTTTGCAAATGCCAATTTCGTTAAAGAAAGGTATTTAATTAATTAATCACACAACAACATGATATTACTCCAAATTAAAATCCAATCATGAAAAAATAACATGTAATTTTTTTTTAATTGTATTGTGGTGTGAATTAATGCAAGGATTGTGAGGTGGATAACTGCACAGAAAGCTGCGGACACCAAAGGGCAGACTAAAGACAAAGAGGCTATTCATCTCGTAATTCTTGACATGTCTAGTAAGTGGTTCAAGGAAAAGCTACGTCGTTTTGGATTTCTGTTTAATTAATTTTTTTATACCAACTTTATACGTATTGAACCCAAAACATAAAAACCTAATCCATAACCCAGAACTTATACGTCGTTTTGGATTTTAAACACTACATAATTAAGCACCAAAAATAAAGATAAGAGGATCGTATTTCAGGAGATGTTAAATGACTGGCACTATTTATACGTGAAGGTTTACCAAATATCATTACTTAGAAACACAACGTAATTACTGAGACTATGTGAAAATCGAGATCAGCAATGACCAGCAAGCTTTCATGTTAGAAGGAAAATGCTAGGTAGACCTTGTTATATTGTACTACAAAATCATTGGTAGGACCTATTTGTATTGGCGGGCTCTATATGTATTAGATAAGTGGTACACAATATAGTTTCTCTAGCATTACTCATTATTTGAAGAGATTCATAATTTCTTTCCTTTTCCTTCTTGTATGCCAGATTTGATTAACATTGATACATCTGGAATAGCTACTCTAGAGGAGCTGCAAAAGAATTTGATCTCCGAAGGAATTGAGGTAAGACACAGTTTCCCTCTTTGGCTAATTAAACCATAATTTACACATTCTCCTTTATTTTAAACTTCTTACCTCTCTCTCTCTCTCTCTCT